TCAGGCGGAGTTATCCGGAGGGGGGCGTGTCAGGCGGAGGTATGGGGAGGGGGGCGTGTCAGGCGGAGGTATCCGGAGGTGGAAGGCGCTGGTTTTTTGGGTCTACACACTGCACACCTTCAGTCCATCTCTGATGTTCTGTCTCTTTTGAGTCCTCTTTACCATTAAAGTGGACCTGTCCCTACATTGAAATGTTACGTGTGCCCTGAGCCGAAAAGGATGACCCAGGCTCCCGGAGGGGGGGGGGTCTTGTAGATAAATGCCTAGGTAACTATCTGTCCCTCGATTATTCACACACTCTACCACTGACATCACATGATCAAATGCCAACACCTTGTCACATGACCATGCATTTTTGTCATAGGTCCAATAGGAGTCTCGCTCCCGAGTCCCGAGGCAGAGAGTGATGCCAAGCCGCGGAGGATTCTGGGAGCATCCCGACGTGACGCGGACGAGTAAGGAGGGGCAGTGGGCGGGTCCTGCAGATCACGTGACCCGGGGTAGCGGCGCCTGCGCACTGGCCGCCCGGTGTGTGAGGGGGAGACGGGCCGGAGCCGCCATGTTGATCACCGTGTACTGCGTCCGCCGGGACCTGAGCGAGGTCACCTTCTCCCTGGAGGTGGACCCGGACTTCGAACTGGAGAACTTCCGGGCCCTGTGCGAGCTGGAGAGCGGGGTACCGGCCGACCAGGCCCTGGTGAGGACCGGGGAAGTCCGGGGACGGTGTGTAGGGTGGAGATTGGTATCCCTGTTGGAAGGGAAGGTATTGGGGACAGAGATTTGTTTGGAGGGAGACTGAGGCTAGGGATACCGTTCCTGAGGGCCGGAGTCTTGATTCCTGATTATGGGGGGGAGGGGAATCTGGGGACAGGGATCTCTATGTATTGGGGGGTGGAGTCTGGGGACAGGGATACCCTTGTATGGGGGGTGTAGGGACAGGGATCTCCTTGTATGAGGGGTCTGGGGACAGGGATCTCCTTTTGTATGAGGGGGCTGGGGACAGGGATCTCCTTTTGTATGAGGGGGCTGGGGACAGGGATCTCCTTTTGTATGAGGGGGCTGGGGACAGGGATCTCCTTTTGTATGAGGGGGCTGGGGACAGGGATCTCCTTTTGTATGAGGGGGCTGGGGACAGGGATCTCCTTTTGTATGAGGGGGCTGGGGACAGGGATCTCCTTTTGTATGAGGGGGCTGGGGACAGGGATCTCCTTTTGTATGAGGGGGCTGGGGACAGGGATCTCCTTTTGTATGAGGGGGCTGGGGACAGGGATCTCCTTTTGTATGAGGGGGCTGGGGACAGGGATCTCCTTTTGTATGAGGGGGCTGGGGACAGGGATCTCCTTTTGTATGAGGGGGCTGGGGACAGGGATCTCCTTTTGTATGAGGGGGCTGGGGACAGGGATCTCCTTTTGTATGAGGGGGCTGGGGACAGGGATCTCCTTTTGTATGAGGGGGCTGGGGACAGGGATCTCCTTTTGTATGAGGGGGCTGGGGACAGGGATCTCCTTTTGTATGAGGGGGCTGGGGACAGGGATCTCCTTTTGTATGAGGGGGCTGGGGACAGGGATCTCCTTTTGTATGAGGGGGCTGGGGACAGGGATCTCCTTTTGTATGAGGGGGCTGGGGACAGGGATCTCCTTTTGTATGAGGGGGCTGGGGACAGGGATCTCCTTTTGTATGAGGGGGCTGGGGACAGGGATCTCCTTTTGTATGAGGGGGCTGGGGACAGGGATCTCCTTTTGTATGAGGGGGCTGGGGACAGGGATCTCCTTTTGTATGAGGGGGCTGGGGACAGGGATCTCCTTTTGTATGAGGGGGCTGGGGACAGGGATCTCCTTTTGTATGAGGGGGCTGGGGACAGGGATCTCCTTTTGTATGAGGGGGCTGGGGACAGGGATCTCCTTTTGTATGAGGGGGCTGGGGACAGGGATCTCCTTTTGTATGAGGGGGCTGGGGACAGGGATCTCCTTTTGTATGAGGGGGCTGGGGACAGGGATCTCCTTTTGTATGAGGGGGCTGGGGACAGGGATCTCCTTTTGTATGAGGGGGCTGGGGACAGGGATCTCCTTTTGTATGAGGGGGCTGGGGACAGGGATCTCCTTTTGTATGAGGGGGCTGGGGACAGGGATCTCCTTTTGTATGAGGGGGCTGGGGACAGGGATCTCCTTTTGTATGAGGGGGCTGGGGACAGGGATCTCCTTTTGTATGAGGGGGCTGGGGACAGGGATCTCCTTTTGTATGAGGGGGCTGGGGACAGGGATCTCCTTTTGTATGAGGGGGCTGGGGACAGGGATCTCCTTTTGTATGAGGGGGCTGGGGACAGGGATCTCCTTTTGTATGAGGGGGCTGGGGACAGGGATCTCCTTTTGTATGAGGGGGCTGGGGACAGGGATCTCCTTTTGTATGAGGGGGCTGGGGACAGGGATCTCCTTTTGTATGAGGGGGCTGGGGACAGGGATCTCCTTTTGTATGAGGGGGCTGGGGACAGGGATCTCCTTTTGTATGAGGGGGCTGGGGACAGGGATCTCCTTTTGTATGAGGGGGCTGGGGACAGGGATCTCCTTTTGTATGAGGGGGCTGGGGACAGGGATCTCCTTTTGTATGAGGGGGCTGGGGACAGGGATCTCCTTTTGTATGAGGGGGCTGGGGACAGGGATCTCCTTTTGTATGAGGGGGCTGGGGACAGGGATCTCCTTTTGTATGAGGGGGCTGGGGACAGGGATCTCCTTTTGTATGAGGGGTCTGGGGACAGAGATCTCCTTTGTATGAGCGGTCTGGGGACAGGGATCTCCTTTTGTATGAGGGGTCTGGGGACAGGGATCTCCTTTTGTATGAGGGGTCTGGGGACAGGGATCTCCTTTTGTATGAGGGGTCTGGGGACAGGGATCTCCTTTTGTATGAGGGGTCTGGGGACAGGGATCTCCTTTTGTATGAGGGGTCTGGGGACAGGGATCTCCTTTTGTATGAGGGGTCTGGGGACAGGGATCTCCTTTTGTATGAGGGGTCTGGGGACAGGGATCTCCTTTTGTATGAGGGGTCTGGGGACAGGGATCTCCTTTTGTATGAGGGGTCTGGGGACAGGGATCTCCTTTTGTATGAGGGGTCTGGGGACAGGGATCTCCTTTTGTATGAGGGGTCTGGGGACAGGGATCTCCTTTTGTATGAGGGGTCTGGGGACAGGGATCTCCTTTTGTATGAGGGGTCTGGGGACAGGGATCTCCTTTTGTATGAGGGGTCTGGGGACAGGGATCTCCTTTTGTATGAGGGGTCTGGGGACAGGGATCTCCTTTTGTATGAGGGGTCTGGGGACAGGGATCTCCTTTTGTATGAGGGGTCTGGGGACAGGGATCTCCTTTTGTATGAGGGGTCTGGGGACAGGGATCTCCTTTTGTATGAGGGGTCTGGGGACAGGGATCTCCTTTTGTATGAGGGGTCTGGGGACAGAGATCTCCTTTGTATGAGCGGTCTGGGGACAGGGATCTCCTTTTGTATGAGGGGTCTGGGGACAGGGATCTCCTTTGTATGAGGGGTCTGGGGACAGGGATCTCTCTTTATTGAGAGGGAGGGGAGTCTGGGGACAGGGATCTCTCTTTATTGAGGGGGTGTGGATAGGGATCTCTCCGTTCCGGGGGTCTGAGGACAGGGATTTCTATGTAGTGAGTGGGGTACTTAATCAGTCACTTCCTCCTTTTTAAAGGATGACAACGCTCTGCCCCTGTTTTACAATTTGTCCTCTTGCGTTGTCACTCATCACACGGGTTTCTGATGGAGACTACATGTGACCGATTCCGCACACGGGTCACACAGACACCATCCACTGTTGTCACCAACAGGAAACCCGCCCTGAGAAATGTCATGTAGACAGGAAGTGGTTGCGGGTGATGGAACAAAGGGGGGAAAACAGGGATTTTATTTAAAAAGCAAACTTTTGTTTGAATACTCCGAGCAATCCGAATGCCATGTAGTATGGGCTACATCCTCTTGGTTGCTATGGGCAGCGCCCCCTCCCCCAGTCCTGGGTACACAGTGACGATCCCACCTCCAGCTGTGGCCTCTGCCGGGCGTATTGTTCCTTGCGGTATTTCCTGCAGAGCCGGTTTCTCATTGGTGGGATAGTGGCCTCCAGGGGGTGGGGAATGGCTCCTCATTGGTGGGATAGTGGCCCCCCAGGGTGTGGGGAATGGCTCCTCATTGGTGGGGAATGGCTCCTCATTGGTGGGATAGTGGCCCCCCAGGTGGGTGGGAGATGGCTTCTCGTTGGTGGGAGGGGTTTTCCTTCCCCATGGTGATGACGTGGCCCCTCCCCTCTTCTCCCCTATAGATCCTGTATGCGGAGAGACCTCTGACGGACAATCAGCGATCGCTCTCGTCGTACGGATTGAAGGACGGCGACGTGGTGATACTGAGGCAGAAGGATCCATCGGAGGCGCGGCCAGCGGCACCATTACCAGGTACGAGGGCCGATTCCCCGGGGGTGGGGGGGGGGCATGGAACCCACAAATGGCGTCGCATGTCTGGAACCCTCCCGTCTGTTCCGTGACGCATTCAGAGCCCACGGTGACATTTCCTCTGCACACTCCATTATTAAAGGGGACCGGTCAGGTCATTAAACGTAAACAGGAAGTGAGGAGCTGGCCGGGTTTCTGGAAGCGGGGAAGGCTGGCTCCTGTATCGGTCTGAAACCAAAATCAGAGAGGTGCACGGGGCAGGGTCCTCTGTACGGTGCGGTGTTCTCCTTTAGGGAATCTTTGTAAGGTAACAATAGTGTTCACCTGCAGGAACCTCACGGAACCCACGAAGTACCCGTGTGAGCCCCTTGGATGCCATGCCTATGTATGTAGGGCCTCCGCTTCAAGATCAAGCCCCACCCCCTCCTCGTATTAAAGCTCCTCCCCCATCATTCAGTTGTATGTTGACACCTTGTATGTACGTAGCGATGTCCTCATGTCGTGTTTTCTCCCCATTAGGATTGCCCAGGATAGATTTCAGCAGCATCGCTGTCCCGGGGACCTCCAGACAGGCGCCTGCCCCCCAGCCTCCGCCCCAGCCTCCGGCTCCGGACTCCACCACCTTTCCTCAGGGGCTGGATAACCCGGCTCTGCTGCGGGAAATGCTGCTGGCCAATCCCCACGAGCTATCGCTGCTGAAAGAACGGAACCCGCCGCTGGCGGAGGCGCTGCGGAGCGGGGATTTGGGTGAGTCGCACTCCCGTGTTCTGGTGCGGGGGAGTGGGCGGGGCTGCCGTGTGAGCGAGCTTACACCACGTATGTCTTCCACAGACAGATTCACAAGTGTCCTCCAGGAACAGCAGCAAGAGCGAGCGCGGCGGGAGCAGGAGCGGATACGACTCTTCTCCGCTGATCCCTTCGATCTGGAAGCCCAAGCCAAAATAGAGGAAGACATAAGGTGACCAGCTAATCCATTGTCCATTGCTGTGCACAGGGAGCTCGGCCGGGAGTACAGGGAGCTCGGCTGGGAGTACAGGGAGCTCGGCCGGGAGCACAGGGAGCTCGGCCGGGAGTACAGGGAGCTCAGGGAGCTCGGCCGGGAGTGCAGGGAGCTTGCGCCGGGAGTGCAGGGAGCTTGCGCCGGGAGCGCAGGGAGCTCGGCCCGGGAGCGCAGGGAGCTCGCCCCGGTGCTGATGCGTACGGGACTACGGCCCTTTCCATGTAGAGGGGGCGGTCCCAGGGTTTGGAAAGGTTTCCAGGCGGGGCTTTGGTGTACATGTCCGGAACGATAAAGCTTCAACAAATGCTGATGTCATCCGTGGTTTTCCGTCTTCCTCAGGCAGCAGAACATAGAAGAGAACATGACGATCGCCATGGAAGAGGCTCCGGAGAGCTTTGGCCAAGTGGTGATGCTTTATATCAACTGCAAGGTGAACGGATACCCTGTCAAGGCGTTTGTTGATTCAGGTGGGAACCTCAGGGGGGGTGACCAGGTTACTAATAGGTGGGAACCCTTCTATCAGGAGGGGGGACACAGCACTGGGGTCACAGGGGGTGACTAGGTCACTAATAGGTGGGAACCCTTCAATCAGGAGGGGGACACAGCACTGGGGTCACAGGGGGTGACTAGGTCACTGATAGGTGGGAACCCTTCAATCAGGAGGGGGACACAGCACTGGGTTCACAGGGGGTGACTAGGTCACTAATAGGTGGGAACCTTTCCTATCAGGAGGAAGCACACTGCTGGGGTCACAGGGGTGGTCACCAGGTCACTAATAGGTGGGAACCCTTCTATCAGGAGGGGGGGACACAGCGCTGGGGTCACAGGGGGGGTGACCAGGTTACTAATAGGTGGGAACCCTTCTATCAGGAGGGGGGACACAGCACTGGGGTCACAGGGGGTGACTAGGTCACTAATAGGTGGGAACCCTTCAATCAGGAGGGGGACACAGCACTGGGGTCACAGGGGGTGACTAGGTCACTAATAGGTGGGAACCTTTCCTATCAGGAGGAAGCACACTGCTGGGGTCACAGGGGTGGTCACCAGGTCACTAATAGGTGGGAACCCTTCTATCAGGAGGGGGGGTCACAGGGGGGGTGACCAGGTCACTAATAGGTGGGAACCCTTCTATCAGGAGGGGGGGACACAGCGCTGGGGTCACAGGGGGGGTGACCAGGTTACTAATAGGTGGGAACCCTTCTATCAGGAGGGGGGACACAGCGCTGGGGTCACAGGGGGGGTGACCAGGTCACTGATGATCTCTCTTCCTCATGGCAGGTGCCCAGATGACAATCATGAGTCAGGCCTGTGCCGAGCGCTGTCACATCATGAGACTGGTGGACAGAAGGTGGGCCGGGATCGCTAAGGGAGTGGGCACGCAGAAGATTATCGGCAGAGTCCACCTGGGTAAGCCACGTGTGAGCCCCTCTCTCCTCTCTGACCTGTCGTCGTCTCATCTGATGTCCAATAGGAGAAGAGTAAATCTTCCCCTCGTGTGTCTTGTGTCTTGCAGCTCAGGTACAGATCGAAGGCGACTTCCTGCCCTGTTCCTTCTCCATCTTGGAGGAGCAGCCGATGGATATGCTGCTCGGCCTGGACATGTTGAAGAGACACCAGGT